TTGATTTGTCGTAAGGCTTGATTAAGGAAGGAGAAGAAATCAATTTTAAAAACATGTGGAGGAAATGTACAAAAAAATGAAAGGAGTCTTCATGAAATTATCAGGTCATGCCAGAGAAAATAGAAGCATGAATGGGAAGCATTTGATGGACGCTGTACAAAGGGTGTTAAGCTAGCAATGCTTTACGGATCGCAAGTTCTAGGGTAAGGATGTTAGGATTGAAAGATTTTAAAGTAAACATTTGAGTATGCAGAGAAGAGTTTTCACGGAAAATAAGTCCCAGACTTCAGCCAGAGGTGGTGGTGGGAACGAGGGGGGTTTGGTTTATTATTTAGGTTATCATCAATTAATCAAAAGAGAATCTTTTACTGACTTTCACAAAAGAAACTGCAAAAAACGGCAGGTAAACTGCGAACTCAATTAGGCCTTTTACCATCACCAGCTTTAGCAACAAAACCAAGAAACGAGAAAACACCAAATAAAAAAAATTAATACAAATCCTTCTTCTCCTCTGTCTAAATTGCGCACGATTTCGTGCACCAGGTTCTCTTGTTGTAGTTAAACTTTCAAGTAATCGATACCAAAAATTACAGACCTCACAAGGCTAATATAGTTGTTATATAGAATGTGTAGTCCTCCATAGAAAATAGTATATTTCGTACCTAGGGGTTTTGTTGGCTAGAGATAGTTTTTTAAGTTCGAGACGAAGTCGAGAACTTAAATCGATCGAGAGCCTGCAAAACCATTTCGGTCCATGGTACGAACGCTATTATTCACCACACTATATCCTATTACCACTATTCACCACTATAATAATGCACACTGATAGTCAACACAACTACGAATTTAAGGTTGTGTGAAGAAATAATTTGAGGAATCATCAAAAATAAAAATAAATAGTTGCTAGGCAACGGTGACAATAGCACAATTATTCTATTGTTTTAAAAATGCTTATATCTCGAAAACGGCTTGAGATATGGCAAAACGGTTGAAATTTTGACACACATAGTGGGTGTCAACTTTTGATTACAAACAATATTACAACATAAAAAATAAAAAATTCCCCAAAAAATTTAACATTATTTTATATGGGTACAAATAACAGTTATCACGAAAATTTTCAAAGTCCAGACTTTTTGATATTTTTGCACACCTTGACATTTTTTAAGTCCATAATATTGTTTTAAAATACTTATATCTCGAAAACTATTTGAGATATGGCAAAATGGTTAAAAATCTGGCAATAAATATATTTTAACTTTAATAGATACATTTTCTAAAAAAGTTTATGCTGCCCCACTAAAGAATAAGACAGGGTTGGTGGTTACAGAAGCCATTAAAACCATTCTACCAAAGGGGGTTAAAAACATTCAATCTGACAATGGAAAATAATTTTGTAATCAATATTTTAGCAAACTAATGAAAAAATTAAATATTAATCACTATCACACTTTTTCTACAACTAATTGTGGAGAGGTTTCAGAGAACTTTAAAGAAATGGTTATATAGAGAATTTAGTTCTCAGGGGAGTTATAAATTGTTGGGTTTACTTCCAAAGTTAATTGGAAAATATAATAATAAGGTGCATAGATCTATAGGAATGAAGCCTAACCAAGTAAGTGTTAAGAACAGTAAATATGTGCATGAGCGGTTGACTTTTAAAGTGCAAGTTAAAAAGCCAAGATATAAGGTGGGTGATAGCGTAAGAATTTCCAAGTATAAACATGTGTTTAGATAAAGGATATACCCCGAACTGGACAGGGAAGCTATTTACAATAGCAGAAGTTAAGAATACAAATCATGTAAAAACTAACTTATAACTTACTAGATAACTAACTATTTATATTTAAATGTTATACTCTGTGACATACCAGAAATAAATAATACGTGTTACTGTTCTGGGCAATAGGCGATACATTTTTCATTCTAATCTAATAACTTCATCCCGTAAATCATGAAAATATTTTGAGAATCTAATAAGTTTTAGGAATAAGAAATTGCGGGCTATAAAAAAAATACCTTATCTAGCTTTTCTTTTTTTACTTTTCTTCTTGTAACATTTTTACAAAATGCAACACATTGTTCAGCCCTCAGACACGTGAATTGGGTTTAAGTGTTGAGTTCAGGTAAACCATTAGCTAATAACATCGAGGTTCATGAGTGAATTCACAGGTAACATGATGAGTAACGATGGATTTTATTGTGTGTGACACTTTTCACCAAATAAATGTCTTGTAGAATCCGTTATTAGTTAACTAACTAACTAATCCAGTCTCACTCAAACCATTTCAAGTCCCTTCAAACCTGTTTACACAAATATATACTTTCAAGGTCAATTACACACAACCGATTCATTTTGCAATATGTATTCACTGTTCAGTAAATTTAAATATCAGCTGATCGGGCCAGTCATATTGCCCTTAACCCATATCTTAGAGCGGTACTAGTCCTGACATTTGTGTAGGCTATGGAGGGGCTCGACCCATCTCACCAGGTAAAAAAGTTTCGTTAGTTTTCCTATTCGAACACTATCAATCTACTACTTTATAAAAAACATTTTTATTATTTACCTTATCAATTATTCTTTCTTATTAAAATACTTTCAGAACTTGAGCCCTTTCATTCAATTTCATACATTGGGTATAAACCGATTATGTCCATAACAATAAATAATCGTCTAAGGTCAATCACCCACAACTGCGATACTTCAATCATTTCACAGATCAGCTGATCGGACCAGTCATATTGCCCTTGACCCATTTCTTATAGTCCTGATATTTGATTACGGAAGAACTCACCCCAGCCCTCCGAAGAAGCTCTACGACAGAAACCGCTTCCAGTTCCTCGGACCCATCAGCCACCAGAACCACCGCCGTGAGGTTATCCCGGGCTTTTGGGTAGCGAGGGAAAGGGTACTTCAGGGAGTCAACTAGTGGGACGGTACACAGACTGAAGATCAGGGGGCACAAACTCCAGACCATTCTGCTTTAGTCTATATGAAAGGTTTATGGTTTACATGGGAGAATGTTAAATAATAGTTTTACAAAATATAGTTTGGCGCGAACGACTTTGATGCGTTTGACTCCGGTCAGAGATAACATAGCGATATAGCTGAGATATAGCGGTGTTATCGCTCCATCTTAATTATTGTAGTTAGCACAGAGACAATATTGTCAAATTAAAATCAGGTTTAGTCTTAAAATTGACGAACACACTAATAGTCAGTTATACTAAAGCTTTGCGTTTGCAATGAGGGAGGACACAGTTTGATAGAATTTGCTTCTTTGAATTTACAGTATTTTATAATAGTACACATCTACCATAGCCATAATGTGCTACCACTTCACCTAAACAATAGAGAAAAATAAATGATCAAAAATTCCCAAATTATCACAAGTTATTCATGAAATTAAAAACATAAACTGTTAACAATCCTACTTTGACAGTTAGTTCTCATTGCGTATCACAGTTTCATACACACAGCTGTACAGCTGTTTTCATAAATGCAAAAAAATATAGTGCTGCACCCTGTTGGTAAATCTATAACTTTTTAATGCTTTTGCATATCATAGAACCAACTTTTTTAGTTGTAACAGCTAACTAAATTCTTTAATTCCCTTTAAATATGAATACTCATAAGGTTAACATGGGGAACTACAGAGCCACTCCGTGGGGTCACCATTGTCACCTATCTTCCCCAACATCTTTATGGAGGAGTTTGAGCAAAAAGTTTTGGCTTCAGCTCGACTAAAACCGAAGATATGGTGGAGGTATGTCAATTACACTTTCGTGGTTTTCCCTCATGGAGATGATATAAATTGAATGAGTTTTTAGAGCACCTTAATAGCACTTCATCTTCCATAAAACTAACCATGGAGGTGGAATCACAAAACAAACTCCCCTTTTTGGACATTTGCGTAAAAAAGCATTTGAACAGTCTTAGAACATCTGTTTATCGAAAGACACACAGGACACACTTAATTTTGGATAACTGGAATATGGGGAACGAGACCAGGCCCTTGCAAACTTGACGACATTGAACCCAATCTTGTTGTATTGAGTTACCGTTTCATTTTTAGTTCTCTCGTACTTAAAATCCCAACATTTCTAGAATTAGAGTGATTTACAGCACTGAGTTTACAACACTTCTTGAAGGAGTACCATCTAGGATGTCCTACAATCATTTCTATATGACTCCTGGAGAGGAGGGGTGTTAGAGCCTTCTGTTATTCATATTTTTTTTTTTTTTTTTTTTGTCCTAGGACGCTAGGCACGAGCCTGGGATTGTTTTCACATTACTTCAGGCTAGACCATAGACCTAGGGGTTGCGGCATTATCACTTAGATAAATCCATTGGTGACTTGGCGGGGATCGAACCCGGGACCTCAGGGACTGAAGTCCCGCGCTCTAACCACTACGCCAGCTCGCTCCCCCTCTGTTATTCATATTAGTTGTACCATTAACTGAATGGTAACCGTTTGTGTAAATTTAAGGACACGCACAAACAATCTTGGGTACGTTTGGCTAAAATATGTTCAGCCATCATTGAGATTAAATGCTGTAAAGCATTGCAAGCAAAGCATTGCAAGTAATTGCATTGAAGTAGATCCCAAAGGACCTAAAGAGCTTAGCTTCGCTCTGCTAAAAAACACAAATAGCATTAGCTCTAGCTGACAACAAACAAAACAGCTGATACAACCCTACTTACTTGCGATGTTGCCCCTTCGAAGGCCATGGCCTGGAGTTAAAGATGGCCGTGTTTAAAACCAATGCCTTTGAGAGCTTAAGAGTTTTTATTAGAGGTTGTGTTGGTTGCAGCTGTATTGTTCAAAGTTCGAAGCCAAGTAAAAGACCTGAACGATCATGACCTTGATAAGGAGATTTTTTAACTTCAACAAACTCAAACTAGTCAAACTCCATAATATCAGTTCTGTTTCAGGTTTCAGTTCAATTTTACTATCAAGCCGGCTTATCTTTAGACCTTGTAGTAAGAGTCAGAGTAGTATCAGTTGTGTTCAAACATCAAATAATTTCTCAACTGCACCTAGAATGGCAAAATCTGCTCTTGTATTAATTGTAGAAGGAACTGAGGAGATGGAATTTACCATAACAGCAGATGTACTTCGTCGTGCTGGGGTAAGAAAGTTTGTTAAAGCTTCTAGCCTAGTAATGACAATATCCTAAACTCAGTCATTACCCAAGTAGGCCTAACTTAACTTTTAAATGCTCGATTGATTGATTCTTAAAGATTTGAGTTAGTTTTCACAACGGCCTCATCATTTGTCAAGGAGCAGTGTGATGCACACTGCACTGTGGGGTGAAACTTTGATATCCGACTTTGAAAATTATTGGTTAGGGCCAGTGGCGTAACAGTATTTCCCCGGGCCCCCCCGCAAATATGTCTGTGGGCCCCCTACTACCCCTCCCATTCCCCACCACAGCACTATATACCACAACCATCGAATTAATAGAGATCGATGACCACAACCATCACCACACCACAACTATCACATGACGTAGGTGACGGCAGGCATACGGCCTACACGATCAGACTGGCAGAGGATGGTCTCTAGCAATATCAAGTATTTACCTATTCTTCAACCACACGACCAGAGTCGTCCTTGAAACATATTTTATATTTTGTCACTGTCACAGTGATAATAAACTTGGGAGTTATGTCCGTGATTAATATATATGGGCTACTCCATTACTCCACCATTCACATTCATTACTAAACTCAACCAAGCTTCCAACTATAATTTGAGTCGGGACCACGAAAGTTTGCAGTTGAGGGAGTAGCATATTTACCATTTGACTTCAAATGAGCCAATGAGGGCAGTGCGGTGTTGCCAAATCGAATAATACCAGCTGTTTTAAAAATATTGTTTAGTATTTTAATTAGTGTCGTCAAAGGGCGATATGGCAACGTCGCACTAGTCTTGTGATTGGCTGCCGCCAACTGCAAACTTTCGTGGTCCCAACTGTAAATGTTAGTGCTTCACTAAATTAGCCCAATTTAATGACATGCCACCTGATTGAGAAACTCTCGCGACATGCACTACTGACGAGTCACTCGCAATCCGCATGGAATGGATCTCCAAAATCAGGTGATCTACGGTCAGCTGAGTACACGTGAGCGGTTAGTGGGGGAGGGGGGAGGGGGGAGGGCCGAGGGGCTGGCTCCGAGTGTGTGTCGCCACGGCGCGGCGGCAGGCCGGCAGGCAGGCACACAGCTCCTAGCGCTAGCATGAAATGAAGCTACACAACCACACTGACAATACACATCGTCGGGTGATCGTAGTGAGCGTTGGCGTTTCGTTAACAATATTATTAATTAAAAGATAAAACTTTAGTAGATTTGGCAGAATAAAAGTATCTACCACAACATCGTTTTTTTATTTATAATTTGTCAGGAGAGAAAAACATTTGTGAACAAAGGAACGGTTTTATGAGAAAAGGGTATCTTAACCTCGCGGGCCCCTAAACCTCGTGGGCCCCCCCGCACCGCGGGGTCTGCGGGGGCGGCTGTTACGCCACTGGTTAGGGCCTAGATGGGAAGTTTACGCTCCACTAACTTAGGGTTGAGCATCGATAAACTTAGTCGATGCTGTTTCTGAAGTTCTATGTTTTTTACATCGATGTAAGTTAAGATGTTAGGTTAAACTACTGATGTTTTTAGCCAAGTATCGGGGTAGACTTTCGTAGGCTATCTGTTGGCACAAACAACCAAATGAAAATATCGATAAGCCTATTTAATTGTTTCATTGGATAGGTAACTGTTGTATCTCTATGTTTCAAATGCTATGCATTTTTAATCGTAGGCCCTATGTTATTTTCAAATATGTGATTCAATTAATGTAAATAAGTTAAACCAGTGACAAAATAAGGCTCGTTTTCAACTTACATTTATTTAACTATTTTTTTCAATATATAAACTTACAAAACACAACAGAAATGGCAACGAGGATGGGATGAGGCTTCATGTTTTAGAAGAGCTTCATGCAACACACATAGGAATGGTAAGAATGAAACGACTCTCAAGACTCCACTGTTATTGGCCCGGAATCGACAAAGACATTGAAAATAAAGTTCGATCATGTGCAGCTTGCGCTTTGCAGTCAAAACAACCAACAAAAGTTTTTCACCCTTGGGAAATCCCTAAGGAAAACTTTGAAAGAGTTCACATGGACTACGCAGGACCATTTAATGGACACCATTTCCTAGTAGTGATTGATGCTAAATCTAAATGGCTTGAAGTTCGAATAACCAAAAACGCACCATCCACGGATATGACAATAGAATTTCTAAATGATATATTCTCTACACATGGATATCCTGCTGTACTAGTTTCTGATAATGCCACAATTTTTACTAGTCAAGAATTTACAGATTTTTGGCGACAAAGCTCTAGGCATATTTAAAAAATTTATCGCCCCAGGACACCCAGAAACCAATGGGTTAGCGGAACGCTATGTGCAAACGTTAAAGACATCTTTGAAAAATTGTGCTGAAGATCCTCTAAAGAATATTAAATCACAAATTCAATACATACTGTTTTGCTACCGAGCTGTACCTCTACAATGCGGACAATCACCGGCTGAACTGTATTTGAATCGAAAGATCAGAACAAAACTAGATGCTCTCAAACCTCCTAAGAAAAACACATCATTACATCCAGGCTTTCAACAAGTAAGCTGTTCATTTAAAGTGGGGGAGAGAATATTAGTACGTTCCTTAGACGGCTGGAAGTTCGGAAAAGTTATTTTTCAACTTGGAGCTCTGCACTACAAAGTCAAACTGGACAAAGGTTACTTTGGCAAGAGACACATCGATCAGTTGAAGAGAACATCAGTGCCAGAAACAGCAGACAAAACACACTCCAGCTCATCTCCTAAAGAAAATACCAGTTCCCCAACAGCACAATGGGCTTGCTGGGAACTTGTTCCAAGTCCATTGGCCCAAGTCCCCAAGCCTGGTTTAGACTCAGGGACCAAAGTCTGTAGGCTTGGTTTTGACTTGTTTTAGAGACCGAAGTTGGCAGTTGTTCAACTTGTTATGGGTTTGGCTCCCCAAGTCCAACCCAAGTCCCAACCCCAAACCTACAGTGAACTCATGGGCACAAACCCACTCTAAGCTTGGAATGATGGATACAAAACGGGTCTGGTGGATTAAGCAGGCTCATTATGGACTTGTTCGGGACTTGGGGACCCAAGCCCAATTTTAGTAGGCTCATATTGGACTTGGCTTAGACTCATATTGGAATTGGTTTTAGCACATTTTAGACTTGGGCAAACAAGCTCACACTGATAAATTAAACAGGCTCATTATGGACTTGGAGACCCAAGCCCACTTTTAGTAGGCTCATATTGGACTTGGCCTAGACTCATATTGGAATTGGTTTTAGCACATTTTAGACTTGGGCAAACAAGCTCACACCTATAGACTCACTCAGAACTTGGTACGAAGTTTTATATACTTCAATTACTGTCATGATCAGAGATAATAATAATTATTATTATAATAGGCTATAGTAATAGTAATATAATTTATACCTATTTAACATATAAGCTGTTTCACACCATTCATTTGCTAGCCCACATTTTTTCTTATAATTTGTTTTTTACCAAGAAAGATTTATGATAAAATGAAGCCTACTTTATGAGTGATCTTGAAAAAATATTGGTTATATATGAGGTTTAGAAAGCAAGACATTCACATTTCAAGACAATTTATTAATATAATAAATACAATGCCCACTATCTTCCACTTCACCTTCAACTTCTTTTCTGAACCCATCAACTCCACCGCCTGCTTCAGAAGATCTATAAAAAATACAATTGCATTGGAATTATTTGGTTTATTAAAATTTATTATTAAAATCATTTTTCATTATTTTTATTTGTTATAATTATTTGATTATTTGGAATTTGTTGGTGTTGCAAACACAGGGTGTTAACTTACCTTTGTTTTTAAAATTGTTATCGAACTTTTATTTCTTACTATTTTACTTTTATAATGATTACAGCGTGTGATGGAACTTACACATCAATAAGGCTACTGAATACAAACAACGTAATAATGGTTTAGGTTAAACACAAATTTTGGCACTGTTCTGTTGAGTTCAGCAGTAGACTATAGAGTATAGTATAGTGAGTGACGTCGATTCCGTGAAGCGCTGAGTATGTCAAAGGTTAAAGCACAAAAGATTTAGGCTATAAACAAAATTTTACGGGTTCTTGATGCTATGAAATTAATTGTTTGCTTAACTTAGCTTACTTATATCATCATAGACTAACCAACACAAGTATATTTTTTATCAATGGAGTTTAAATCTTACCTTTACAGGAATCCCTTAATTCTTCTTTGCTTCGTCTTGGTATCAAAACCATAAACAAAACTCACAACTAGTAACGAAACGAGTACCACTCACAACACCAGAACTAGATAAGTGAGAACTGACAACTAACTGAGAGTGAGGAAGTCTAAATCCAACAAAAATGGTGGTTCAGCACAAAGAAACAGGTTTTAGGAGCGTTCTGGGTAGGGGTGGAGGGAAAATTCTTTTGTCATATGGCACTGCTCACTTTAGACTCACATGAACAAGCTTGCCGTGGGTCTGGTTTGGTGTTTAAATTGTGGACTTGGCCAACCAGGTTATATATGTAAATAAAACAAGTTTAGTTTTGGCTCATTCACACAAGTTCACTTAACCAAAGCTGTTTTAAATTTGTAGTGGGTTCCAAACTCCAAGTTTGTCATACCAATTCAGAAATATGTAAAAACCAAGTTTAGTCCAAGCTCACGTGCTGTCTGGGTTCGCAACAACAGAACGTGACATTCAAGGACAATGATCTGGAAAATATAGAAATCAGGCTTCAACGCAGAGAAGATAACAATGATCAACTTGAAAATGCAGAAATCAGGCTTCAACCCAGTGAACATAACTTAATAATCCTCAAACAGATGACAATGCTTCAACAGATGTTCCTCGCAAATCAGCCAGAACGAGAAAGCAACGGAAAAGACTGGACTTTTGAATCAAATTTAGTGGGGAAGAAACTGTTGTATCTCTATGTTTCAAATGCTATGCATTTAATAATTTAATCATAGGCCTATGTTATTTTCAAAAATGTGAT